GGGGTGCTAGAACAAAGGAAACGAGTGTGGCCGAGGGACAACTGCAACAAGGGAACAAAAAGAAAGGGAACATGTGGTAACAAGCCAGCCTTGGATAACCAGGCTGAATACACAGTGGGTGTCTACACTGGCTTAAATTTACTGCACAGTAAATGGAAATAAACTGCTGTCTACACGTGCACCCTTTAATGCATTAACACCATGTGATAAAGTTAGTCCCAAGTCAGTCTGCACACAGTGTTACTGTGCAGTAATGCATCACATGCATTACTGTGCAGTAACTAATCGGGTTTAAATTTGATACCAAGTATCAAATTGGCGTAAGTTGCTACACTGGCAACCCTCACCATTTGCGGAGATACATTGTTGAGGTTCGTGTGACTGGCCAAATCTGAATACGGCACTGCGTTCATGAACGTCATTAATGCAGTGCCCCTGGCAGCTGTGGCAGGGGTGGGCATAGCTGTGCCGGTAGCAGCAGGAGCCCAACAGCAGCAAGCACAGAGCTCCTGTCAATGTATTTAAGATGCAGGTTTGGCATTCATGAATATTTGAAACTACGAATGCCAAACCTGTGAATAGCAAGGGGTTCCTGTATTTACCGTGCCATATGGGCATGCATGTGTAGATACACACCTGTACTGCACAGTAATTTTGGTTACTGAACAGCAAATGTGCATGTGTAGACACACCTGGTGTGAAAGTTTGTGTAGGCTATTTTACACTTCCCAAAGGACATCACTATTCTGCCGCTTTAAGAGAAATCTCCTTTAATGAGTGTTGGTCACCAGAGTTGGGGGAGTGGAGTATGCAGTATTCATATGCTAAAAAACCCATGCCCAGAAAGAGCACTGCTCCTTTCATTTAGAGCAGTTTTTAACCTGTGGGCCACAGACTATGTCCTCCTGGATCAAAGGGTCTAAGGTGTCCGTAAGAGTGACTATGATCAACCAAATGTATGTCAATACCTACACTTACAATTTAAAGGGGGCCATACCTCCATTTGAAATTTCCAAAGGGGTCTGTGCCTCCATTCAAAATTCTTTAGGGGGAAAAAAAGGTTGAACACCACTGCAGAGGATTTCAACAGACAGAAAAGGTTAGTGGTATCAATGTATGAATGTGAATGGGTGGAGCCTTATAGCACAGCGGTGTCCAGGTCCAGCCGCTGAGGATTCACCAAGTAATGCGGAAACAAATGGGAAAAGATTACTTTGTGAAGTACACACGTAAGGCCTCCTCAGTGTGCCATAAAGCATAGAGAAAGAAGTGAGCTCATTTCCCAGTGGCTTAGCAAGTACTGCTGCTGTGTAAATCCTGAAACAACAATTCTTCTCTTCTGTTCTACCATAGGGAAAATGTGGGATCAGGTCTTGTTTAAGATACCTTGAATGTTAATCAGAAAAGTTGACACTAATCCTTGCAACTCCCCTGTTGAGAGTGGACATGGAAAAAGCAAGAGAACAAATGAGAGCAAAGGCTCAGCACTCTTTCATTTTGTAAGATTGGAAGGTGGGAGTTTAATTATACATGAAATAAGAGGTTTTAGCAGTCTTAATTTATGCACTTGAGATCTCTCCAATTCTGCGGTGCATTTTATTAGGAAGTAACAGCAGTTGTATAAAACGTGCTCTGCCAAGGGAGAGCTGGAAACTCGATAGTTGCTTGCATCTTACACAGTCTGTTTTGCCTTCCAAGACCACCAATATGACAACTTTATAAAGCATAGTCTTTATGCAAGGAGGGATTCTGATGTGGTGCCACCTCTGCTCCAATGTCTTACAGTATTTTTCTCCCTTTCTGAACTCTAGAACTGACTGAGGAGGTTTTGAACACCAAGGAAGGAAGTAGTAACCCAGTGCAAGAGGTAAAAAACCATGCTATCTCCCTCTTGAGCATAGTATAGGTGTTACATGTTGCTAGATGTATGGTGGCTGCTGTACAGCAAATTTAACTCTCATGAAAGAAAAATGCCAAGATCTACAAAAATTCAGGCAGATATAAACAACATGCATGTCTTCAAGAAAGTGTTTTATTTCATCGCTCTTCCATCTTAATTCAACATTGCTTATCTGTGATGTTCCTCATTCACACAGACTTGCTTGAAACCACGTTACACCTGTGACTGCTGCTCAAGGTGTGCAGACAGTGCCAAGTCAGACATTCAGATCTCAACTGATGGCAATCAGTCAACACATTTAGGATCTGCACCAGAGGACAATTAAGTTTTACTTCACAGGTGGTATTTATGGGTGCCTACACCCGAGAATGGAGGCTGCTGCAAAGCGCTGGAATTCCAGGGTGGAAGCTGCTCCGACACTGGTGATTAATCTAGTCTGCTGGAGCATGGCAGTTGCCGCACTCCAACAGCCTCCTGTGTTCATGCATCTGCAGCCCCACACTTCAAAATGGTGGCAGGGGCACTTGAACTAAAGCTCGAACGAACTTTAATTGAAGTGCCCTTACTACCATTTTTAAGCACCAGGATGCTAATACACTAGACATAGCAGCAATTTAATGAAAGCACCCCCTCCTCCCCCCCACCCCCGGAGCACATTGACACCTTAGCACTTAGGGCACTTTTACGAGTGAGGGAAGTGACTAGGGTACTTGCAACAGTATGATCATCAGGGATTTGGGTTGTCTATCTCCCACAGAAGAACAGAGTAAAACACAGATTTCCCTCCTCCCTGAAATAAAACGCAGATTTCTCATTTTAACAAAGACACCCATGGATTTTGCAGTTTTGCAGCGAGCTCTCTGCAGGCTGGCAGAGTTCCAGCTTGTAGGTGGGCAGGATGAGGGCAGTCAGGCAGGCAACGCCATGATCATGTATATGCACACGGCCCCAGGCAGCCTGAAGAGCAGCTCCTGCAGATAAGAGGTGGGGAGAAATTGAGGCCCACATAGGGAAGGAGTTGGACAGGGCTAGGGTTGCTGCCCAGCTGGGCAGTGTGGGGAGCTAGGGGCCCAGGGCTGCAATGCAGGGCCCCAGTGGGGAGTGAGATGGGGCCACAGGCAGCTCATCTGGGGAGTGCAGCTCTGCCACAGTGCACACACACACACCGGGGGGGGGGACACGTGTGCCCCGAGACCTGTTGCAGGGCAGAGGCAGGGCTTGGGATCCTGCCCTGCTGCCCTCTCCCAGAGCCTCTGCCTGTGCGACTTAGTGCTGCAGGGCAGAGCTTCAGGAAAGCTGCTTGCCACTACGAGCTCCACGCTGCCCTGGTGATGTGTCCCCTGAGTAAATAGAGGCAGCGTGGGGTTGTGACCCTCACTGCTGTCACACGTGCAGATGTCACAAGGGCAGTGTGGAGCTTACAGCAGCAAGCAGCTTTCCTGAGCAGCCATGCTCTGCCCTGCAGCCCTGGGTTACACCCATGGGCTGCAGAGGCCCTGGGGGAGGGCAGCAGGGCAGAAGCCCAAGCCCGCATGTTCCACCCATGTCCTGCGCACAGATCTGGGGCGTGCAAATCCCGTCCTCCGAGCTCCCACCCACCTGAGCCCACAGCAGGCAGGCACCTGTGGGGGTGGGAAGCTGGCTCCATGCTCTGCTCTGCTGCAGCAGCTGCTGCCTTCTGTCCGGGGAAAGAGGCTGCAGACCCAGGTCCCTGGCCCCTAGCCCTGGCAGCTGGGGGTGGGGGCAGGTGCTGTAGAGGGGGCTTTAATTTTAATAATGGATTTTGGGAGGTTTTATTGGAGAATTTGGAAATTTTTTTTCATCAGGGTAAACCAGGATCCCTGATGATCACACATTAGAGAAAATGCATTAGCTTAGTGCCTAGTCTCAAATGGTGCTATGCAGTGATGAGTTGGAGGTTCCAATACAATGTTTCCATTTTTCAAAAATGAAAATAAGTGGTGATGTTGCTTGCTTTCAAAGCAGCAAGGTGCTGTATGGGCTGCCTCCCCTTGCACCCACAAACCAGAATTTGGCTAAGCAATTGTAAAAACCAGACATGATGCTAAGCCACTCAGCATGTGGCTGAACACATATTTACCAGGTCTCAGGAAAGTTGTCCCCTGCCGTCACTTGATAGAATTCACCTATCAACTGGATTTAGGACCATTCTGTTATGGCCATATAATGGTGGAGCTATGAAAGCAATCTAGGTTCTAAGCAACCCTTTGTACAAGACCAGCAATGGCAGGGAAATAATTAGGAAAAACATTTCAGTGGCAAGGTGTGAAAGATATGTTTCGTGCCCTGAAAGACATCAGTGCCAGTCACATGCCAATTAAAATCCAAGGAACACAGATTTCTTTAAAAAAAAAAGAATCAGTAGGTTTATTGTAGGTCTCAGAGGGGCACAGTACGAATAAAGGGAATGCCTACATGTTGTCTATAGAATTAACCCATGATTTGAATTTTAAAAACCAGCATCTAAACAACCGTTTCATTCATCATGATGCTTTCTTCGGTTTTTTCTTTTCGTTTTCTTCCTTTTCTTTTTCAATTTCAGCAACATATTTCTCAATTTCTTCAGGACTTAATATCTTTAAAAAATTGAAACAGAAGTGATTGACAAGATACCAACATGATTAAGTGCGAGATCTAATTGTAAAGGAAATTAGGTTAAAGACTATATGATTACAAACCAATACCAAGGAATTTTGAAAGTTCTTTTCACTCTAGCTTTAAACAGACATAGCCCTAGTTCTTATTCTGCCATAAACTGCTTTGAGGTTAATATGACATTCAAGTGGAAAGTAGTAGGGAAACATGCCTTGACAAATCAAAGTGGACACTATTACGGAATAAAAGTTAGTTACCTTGAGTGGCTGATCTCTTCTCATAACTGCCAGCTCAATGTTTTTCCCACCTGACTGTACAACCTTGAAGAGACAAGAAAAAGGTACTAGATTCAGAAGACTGTAAAATCCTAACCCATAAATCAATTTAGGACTGAGACTCTTATAGACTAATAGGAGCTTCATTTTTCATTTAGATCTCAGATACCCTTACAGGCAACAGCACTCATCGCTGCAAAAAAATAAACGTATTCATTCTAAGGAATTTTGCACCAAATCAGTATAAGGAAGACTATATGCACTTACATGCTCTTACAGAAGTCAAAGTAAATATTAATAGCCTTAATTCATAGTTCAAACATTGATATTAAAGATGAAAGGATTTATTATAGAGTGATCTTTTTTTTTGGGACGGACGACGGGGATGACGACCTGAATAGGTGGGATGGAGTTAGACAAGTTTTTGAGTACATCTTCAGGTCTGATGAAGGAATATGCCATAACACACACAACTAAAATATGTTAAAAGAGATTCGTGGCAATGCCTAAATACACATTTTGGGTTTTTCTTTTCTTCTTTTTGAAAATCAGTCTTCACAAAAGACTATTCAAATCTGACGTACAAGTCAGGGAAATCTGTTACTTCAAAGCATTCTGAGTACCAAGCCTAATCTAGACATGTAAATTAGTATTTAGTGCTCTCAACTTAATGGAAAATACATTTATTTGGCAGACATTAGAAGTCATAGGTAACTTTTATTGGGTGTGCCTCCACATGCTTTTACACATGCCTAAACTTAATGCGCACTTGCCTAATGCATGTTAAGGCTATTTAGGGACGCATCTACATGTGCACACACTAACACACATTAACAGTGTGCGGACCCATTTGGGACTAAAGTTAATCCCAAATCAGTCAACATACACAGTGTTAATGTGCCTTAGTGCATCTACACATGCATTAAGGCACTGTAGCTATTCGCGCCTAAATTTGATACCTGCTTTTGCAGGTATTAAAATTTAGGCATGAATAGCCTAAAAAATTGCCATTTTTAAAGGTGCATTAAAGGGCACGCATGGGTAGACCTGCGCCCTTAATGTGCCTTAAAAACTGTACGTGTAGATGTGTAGACGCACCCACTGATGAGCAAATTTAGGCTAAGCACACACCCTGGCCCTAAAAAAATGACAACTTGTCAACCTTTATCAGTGTCTGACTGAATCAGGACTCACCTCAAGAAGTGCTTTGATGACAAGTTTGATGGTTAGATCATCCGTTTCAATGGCTTCATCAGTATAATTTTTCTCCAGGAATTCACGCACAGACTTGGCTCCTCTACCAATGGCATTAGCCTAGGAGCATTGCAGAAAAGGAGAGGTGTGAGGGTCACCAGGAAAACAAACATTTCTATACATCCCTGTTTACAAAAATAAGTGGGTGCAGGCCCGCTCACTGCATGTGTTCAATTGAAGCAACCTGTTTTTTGACTGACAGGTTTTCAGGCTGAAGGCAGAAAAGGCTTACAATTCCCAGGCGTCTCCCATGTCTGCTATGATCCTTTTGGGTATGGAGCATTCAAACTTCTCCCCCATGACTAGATCTAAATGGAAATACTATCTAGGAGACCTCCCTCCCGTTCTCAATGATTCAAGCTACCTCCCTCCCATTTGCAGTCTTCCAACCTCTAAAGCAGAGCTTTCCAAACTTTTCATGTTGGTGACACACTTTTTAGACATGCATCATTTCGCAACACAGTAATTCAGTTCCGGGGGAGGGGCCAACGGAAGCAGATGCGAGTAAGGGAGCTCCGCGGTGCCCTTCCGCAAAATTTTCTGCATTTCGCGCAACACACCTACACACTGCCACCGACATACTAATGTGTCGCGGCACACAGTTTGGAAAGCTCTGCTCTAAAGTAATGTAGTAGTTGACAACTTTTGAAACATTTTTGTAGCCAATAACCATGTCACCAGCTAGCTCTCCAGTCCTCACGGACTTGTAAGAAACAAGTCAATCTCCCAGCAAGATGGGGCCCTTTCAAAAGATAAACATAAATATTGTTTGGAGCCAATTTATTTAATTCGCAAGGCAGAATCAACTCACCTTCCAAGCATGGTATGTGCCCGAGGGGTCAGTTTGATACAGTCTTGGAGTTCCATCAAAGTCAAATCCCACAATAAGGGCAGAGATCCCAAAAGGTCTGCGGCCGTTACTCTGAGTATATCTCTGAGAATGACAAGAGCCATGCTTCAGAAAACACTTCTTCACAAGCACATGGATTTCTAGGGCAGGGGTTTCCAACCTTTTTTTACCGCAGACTGGCAAACATATTTAAATTTAATTTACATTTAAATTTAATTGGGGGGGGGGGGG